AAAAGTCCCGCATATATGTGCCCAAGCGTTGTATTGAAGCAATCAAGTGGTTCAAGGTTCAAGGTTCAAAGTTACCTTGAACCTTGTATTGAAGCAATCAAGTGATGAATAACTGTTTTACAGTATGTTGATTTGTTTCTCACTGAAGTAGCTAATAAAGCACAATGGAATACAGTTTTGCCTCCTTCCTGTAGGATTCTATAATAGAATGAAACAATGATGCCAGTTATAAACAAAGACAATAAATTGAATGAATTATGAAACACTTGTTTTTATTTCTATTGGAAACCCTTTCACTCCTTTGATTTTTTTCCTTGTACTTTTTTGGTTTTTTTGCCCTTTTCGTCAAGTCTGTCTTTGTACGGACCTGCCGTGTTCTCCTTCGTTTTGTACATAACTGTTTTTGGGGCAAATAAAATGCAAGTAGGGATTAAAACCGCAGAATTAATGATTACTGGTGCTGGAAATGCTAGCGCTTAATGCAGTGTTTTGATTTTGCTGCCACACGTATCTACAACGCAATGCGCGAAAGTCACGTGGTCTGTCGAGCTCTATTGGAACAAATTACTTACTTAACAAATCAAACCCTCTGAAAATGTGCAGGTAAAAGAACTGAACTGAAAATAAGTGAAAAAGCAGCCAATGTCTAAAGAAAAACTATGAAAGACCTTCAGAAAACCGTCAGAAATTATTGCTTGAGACCAATTTAAAAAATGATAAGTCTGGCTCCTTGGAAGCGAAATATATAGACACAAGTAGTGGCTCAAGACTTATGCACAGTATTTGATTTATATTTATGATTTTATTGATATTATTCATAGTGCAACTCAACTAAATCTTTACGCTGCAGTAAGCCACCGTCAAAATATAGTGTTATAAATACTAGTAGTTTCAGTTGTTGTGCCAAAAAGTGATTGCCTGCCAAAAAGTGATTTCCAATGTTTCTGTGTATTTTTTATGTGTAATATCTTTATGTACGTTCGTAAACAGACTTCGGTGAACAGGGTTTACAAAGGGGTTACATATAGAATTTAAAAAATTATCTGTTTTTCAAGTATCTTTACAATTCTGTGTTATTGTACTTACATTATAACTAATCCGGTCCTTTATCCCCACTTAAAATATTTTTACAGAACTATTGTAATATTTGCTGGCATTTCTGCTGTGCTGTTGGCCAGCTTACTCTTACAAAAGACATTTTTAATGTTAATGACATTTTTTAACTGCATAAATAAAGGTTATATAAAAGTCACTGCCAAAAACTGATTGCGGCTTCTACCTTGTTACACGAATGTTGTTTGTGGCTCAAGATGACTTTATGTCATCCATAAGGGATGCATTTGACATATGTTTACCATATTATATCCCAACAAGTTACTTATAGCAGTTTAAATATGAGCAATCACTTTTTGCCACAACACCGTCAAGACCGTCACAGCGCCTCAGTACTCAATACGTCCTGTAGTGGGCGCACACCACGTAAACGTTTACCATTGAATTAAAACGCTCCCTTGGTCTTGCACAGAAAACATAACCTTATTTAATGCGAATGTGTCCTTAAATGTCCTTGTTGTCTGTTCGCACTTGCACACTTGTAAGTTTCAGCATTGCATTAACGTGGAACAAGCTAGCCTGTTAAGTACTGTGACCGCCCCCGAAAAACCTGCGGCCATTTATCCGTCTCTTTAATTCGGACTCGCAGATGAAGTCCACGAAACAAATATTTGCTCATTTACAAACTTGCTAAACAAACGGGAAACGATTCATGTAACGGCACTTAATGTTAGCATTAGCCACTATGATAGCATAGCACTGGTGTCCGATTTAGCTCTGGTGACGTCCGCAACACTGCAAACTAGGACATAGTACTGAAAGTGAACTGTGTGACTAAACCTTAATTCCAAAGTGACAGGCAGCAGATTCGAGAAGGCTTGTGTTAACTAACCTAACCTTAGTTCACGTTAACACCGACATGGGTTGAGACTATGCTCCGTATTACAATTTCAACCAACGCTAGTATACACTATCCAGCGAATTCGTATAGTGTCCTCTTTGCAAACTTGCACAGCGGTAGCTTGAGTTCTTACATCACAGGTATATAAAATTATTCCAAAAAGCATCGTTTGAAATGACTATTCGGGTTGAATTACACAGACAACAATAAAAGTGAAACTATCATTTGTCAAGTCAATGATGTTTTGTCAGGAAATAGACTGCACCCTGAAAGGGCTAGCATCGCCCTCTACATATTAGCATCGTAAGTTCAGAAGTTCACATTCTACGACGAAGACAGCTCGACATGCACGTACCTACCACCGCTGCTTAATTCTCTCAGAAGTAGTCCCTCGCGTTGTTGATATCGTCGTAATCAATACAAGCGGCCACCTGGAACATAACAGACAAAACACAGCTTGCTAACTAAGCCCCCTGTGAGTAGACCAGTATCCTCCATTACCAGCTCTACGCATGTACACGCTCCTCGGATTTTGTTTACCACAACACGCATGGGAGACGCTTAGCCAATCATAAAGCCACTCCGAGTCACGTCATAAGACCGCAAAAACCGTCTTTCTGTAACCATAAGATTTGATTTGACAGTATCGGTCAAGGGAATAGTTCACTTTTTACCTATAAACGATGGATATCATTGTATTCAATTTTTTTTAACACATGTTGCTAAGATGTTCATATTACAGTTTTTATTCTTTAAAGTTTCAGCTCAAGATAATATAGAAAAAGGTATTCATTCAGTTGGTTATAGAAAGTTTTGTTAAAGGGTTCCAGCTCTTCAAATGCAGGTAGACAGATTTCTGCAGTATCCACAAACATGCTAAACATACAATAAATGCTAATAAAAGCACTAATACATAAATACTACTAATAAATACGCATTTATTACGACAGAAAACTATACAGTAACCTGGTGAACAGTGTACAAGAGTGCATTACAGTACAGAACAGTGGAGAAAGTTCCACACTGACCTCTGGACAGCAAGGACAGGGCCAGTTGCAACATCTGATGATCAGAGGTATTTCCAGTGAAACATTTTAATGTTTTTCTCTGCAATTTAAATCCTATAGTCAACGACAATACACCAAAGACATCATACGAAGTGCTGAAATTTTTTTTTAGTGTCAGCCGTCTATTTCACAAGTTGAAATGGCAGCAAACAAAAGCTGAATAGGTTAAAAAAAGTTTTAAAATAATGTTCCTCAATTAAACAACAGCAACTCAGAGAAACAGGACGTGGCCTCACCTTATTTAAACTCAAGTGAGTTCCTTTCTAATGTTAGAAAATTGCCACTTTTTGCAGTAGATAGTAACTCAAAAGTTATATTCAGACTGTATCATCTGTTTAGTGTCTCCTTTTTTAGGGAGTCGAAATTGTAAATGCCGTGGTTGACTGAGCTTTCTTTTGTATCACCCTGACAGGATTAACATGTTTTCACACCATCTCAGTGGGGAGTGCTTACGCTTCCTGAAGTGGGAAAACCCCCATACTTTTGTTCTGAATTAGAACATGCCTGCTGTCTTGCATAGAAAGCATAAAATTGTATGATGTAAAAATGTGTAATAAAATCCTTTACAGCTGCTTAACAGACAATGCTGCAGGACAAGCTAGCCTGAAAGATTCTGGGAATGGCTCTAACTGCACCCAAATTAACTATCTATGTAATTCTGCCCCACTGTTCCATCTCAGCCAGCAAGTACCTGCATATTTGCAGAAATAAAAGACAAGACCATATGGTGACAATAACTGGTGTATAACCTAACTGGTTATGTGCAGAGCAGCCCAGAGAGGCTGTGTCTCTCACAAAAAAGATGGAGAAAGTTTTCAGAATATTATCAGAATATTTGGTGCAGAAAACTAGTTTATGTTTGATTTTTTGTGCTGTTGTTGTTGTTGTTTTTTTTAGTGAATCAGAGTTGTAAATGTAGTATTTGAATAGCTCAGAATTCAAGACTGCTGCCGTTATCCAGCTGAAGCTGGCACCTACCCTGCTTTGACCTCTCAGTGATGCAAATCAGCTCGTCCAGAAAACTGTTCCTAACCTATGCAAATAGGAAATAAAAGGAAGCGACTGCCTTTTCTTCCTAATTCAAATAGTTTTTCCTGCTCTTGTAGCAAATGAGTTGCGTAAAGCTTCACCCCATTCAGATAAAGCAGTTGAGCCAAGGAGGCGCAAGTAAATTTGATACGATTAACTGGCAAAAAAAGAAGAAGCTGAGACCCAGTGTATGAAATTTTGCTAAATTAAAGAATGTTTTTGCTTGAAAAATAGAAAATAATTTTTTCATTTTGATGCCAATCTGCAGTTTCACAAAAGTGACAGAAACACCAAAGGAGCGACAAAACATTTTAAAATAAGATTTTATCGTGACTGCTTATAAAAAGTGCTGTCCAGAGACAAGAAATGCATTTCTATGGTCATTTAAGAAAAAGAATAGGATTGAGCTAATATGTGTCCATTCAGTATATTGCCTTAGGAATATTTGCAGGCCCCTATTTAATAAACTTGATGAAAAAAATATAATTTTTTTTCCCCCCAAAACATGATTTTTTCTTCAGTAAAATGCAAATTGCCCACTTCCGTTTTCGAATTTGTAATGAATCCTTATAGGACAAGTTTGTGATTGAGCAAAGTAGAAAGGTTGAAAAGATTAAAAAAGTACAGTAGAGGTGGATGAGTTTAAATTCCTGGCGTCAACAATTCAAAGTGATGGACAGTGCCAAAGTGAAATGAAGAAGAGGGTGCAGGCAGGGTGGAGACGAGTTTAGGAGTCATTTGAGACAAAAGGATCACAGCAAGAGCTAAAGAGGCGGTTTGCAAGGTCATGTGGAGGAAATGCAGAGGGTTTGGTGTGACAGAGGAGGATACTAAGCAGAGGGTGAGGTGTAGTCAGATGTTCAGTGACCCCTAAAGGGCGCCGCAGGAAAAAGAAAAAGAAGATGAGAAGGAAGAATCATATCCAGCACTCAACAGAGAAAACAAACACCTTTTAACTGGGAACATCTGATTTATTTCATGCCAGGAAAGGCACATTCATACACTGAATTCAATTGTTTTAATAGGCTATATAATGTTATATGCATCTACATTCAGGCAGTGCATATAATATGATTCCCTTGAATAAATGCCACAATAACATTAACATATTTTGTTAACCACAAAAAGATATAGCACATATGAGCACTGACAATTTATATATGCACACTTTTAGCATAAGGAGAAGTACATGTGCACCCTGTAGTCCATACAGTTTTACTGACCTTTTACACCAAAAGAGACATACAGTACTTTGCATCAGCAGCACTTGTTGGTTTTTATAAAGTCCATAGAGAATATATAATGTTTTAGAGCCGGTTCCATTTATTCCCAAACTATTTCTGTTCATTTGTTCCTGTTGCATAAATCCAGTCATCTCGCATCTGCACTCTCTCTTAAAATGCATATATAACAGACCAGCATGAAGAGCACAAAAGTCCCTTTTTTTTGTTGTTTTTTTTCTTAACCTCCTAGGACCCTGCGTCCACATATGTGGACATCACATTTTGGGTTATTTAGACCAAAATACTCAATTTTGCTTTACAAGGTCCTGATATCCACTTACGAGGAAATTTTAAATGAATATGCTCATATGTGGCTCTTATTTTTCTTAAAAACAAAAATAAGGTAAAAAAAAAAATCTAGTAATTCTTTGTTTTTACGTTCATCGGGCCCCAATATGTCCAAATATCAAAGAGAAACTAAAAATGCATGCCGTGGAAGAGTTCAGGTCTTAGGAGGTTAAGGGGATTTTTCGCCTTTGGCAGATTCATATTTGGGCTTCCTCTGACTTACATCCTCTGTTACACATAACAGTAATCTATCCAGTCAACAGATAAGCACTGTCAGGGAGAATCAGACTGTGCTTTTATTCACACTTTACTGTCCCACTATGAGACAAAGCAACATTCACGAATGAATGTCTAACAGCGAGCAGCACGTCCTGCTCATTCCTTCAGTCCGACATGAGTAGATATACAGTGTAGGGTGGACGGGGAGCAGCAGGGTTAGGTAACGCACACGTGTTTCGCGATCAGTTATTAGCTTAAGACAACATTTTATCAGTTTGTTGCTGTTACGCCAGGATAAAAACAGAAATAAATAAACAATAATAATACTTACACACTGAGAGGAACCATTTCATTAAAAGACAATTGTGCTGGGAATTTATGGCAATATATTGCAACTGTCTGAAACAACCCTTGTGTATATATCTTTCCATACTCTGAACTCATGCAGGCTCTCAGTACTTTTTATCCTTAGGATAATATATATATATGTGTGTGTATATATGTATGGTATCGAGGCAATGGCTGTTAATCTGGAAGAGAATCTCTCTCGGCTTTGATGTTTGTTTTATGTTTTAATATTAACTATGAAATCGTTACACTTTAATACTGACGCATAGCATTTTTGATTTTGAGTTTAGTGCAAGGAAAGTTACTTGCTTCTGTCATTTGTTAATCAGTCAGATTGTGTGTCTGAGATGCTGTACACTGCATATTGTGTGAATGTGGTTCCAAAACAATATGGTACAAATTTTTTTTGTATGTGTGTGTTTCTCCTTCAATCATATTGTCATTTATGTAAGCATGTGACACAGTTATTATCCACATTTTACATGGACAGTGTAGTATATTTAATGCATTTAATCTATTTTTCCACTGTCTGCATTTAATCAAACACAATTATTCTGTTATAAATTGCTCTTCACCCTCCCTGATTCCTCGGTTGACTGTGTTTGATGTTTTTTTTTCTTCTCTTCCACTGAAAGCAGAGTTAAAATGGATAAATTAGCCATTTTATTAAGGTAGAACAGGAGCTCTTTTCTGCAGTACTTTACAGAATATATATGATGGAGGCGAGACGATTCCAACAGCGTTTCACGCCTTTTATGCCTCGTCGGTCAGTTCTTCACCACAAACATTTCATACACAAATCATGGTGCCTTTTACCTCCAGACTTTGTGTTGGTTTGCAAACATGGTGAGATGGAGGACAAACTGGTATCGAAAAGCGTAGCAGAAACTGACTGTGTATCGGCGTCCGCCCCTCTCATCATACGTCCTTTCCCGCTTCATCTCAGAGCACCAGTGGTCATCTACATCCATAAGATGTGACCCTGTTTTAAACAGCTCTCAGCCTGGGAGCCTTAGGAATACATGCCAACTGCCGAAAAATAGGCCTTCTCCTTTGCTCTTTAATAAAACTTTATGCCTTGATGGTTATTTGTTCACAGGTTTACTGTTTTTCAGTGTGTGAAGAGTGTCACTGGCAGCGATCGCCTTCTCTGTGTCTGTCTTGCTGCTGCCTTTTCTTGACATGTCAGGCTCCCATAGAAAGAACTCATGCAGGAGGGTGTTGACAGTTTCAGGACACTCCATCATGACCATGTGACTTCCCTCTTCGATTACTTTTAAGAAAGCGAACAGGAGGATCTAAAAACAAGAGCCAAAATGGATAATCTTACAACAGATCCGAATCCAAAGCTATGAGACAATAACTAATAAATGAAACAAAATAGCTCTTGTTTGGATAAAGGTGTGGTATACCTCTGCCATCCGCTGGTCCTCATCCATGGGCACAAACTTGTCACACATGCCATGAACCAGAAGAATGGGCACAGTGAGCTCGGCATGGTATACCTCGTCCCCCTCGGGCCAGTACTGACCGCTCATCATGGCTCGCAAAACGAACGGAGACACATTGAAGGCATTGCCCTGCTTCAAAAGCTGCTTTTCTTTGGCACCCTGACGGGCAAATCCAGCTCTGAAGATTAGAAAAAGAAAGAAAAAAACTTTACCAAAATCTCTTTCCTGTACATTTTAAAGCTAGTTAACATTTTAAGCAAGCTATTATTTATCTATTACATCTGTCTGTCACAGTGTGTCACTACTGTTGGCAGCATCACAGCATCTTACTTGAGGAAGCTCCAGGCCAGACAAGGTGACAGACAGTGAAGGACACAAGATGGCAGTTGGAAGATGGAGCAGAGGCTGGGCTCCAGAGCTGTGGGACCCCCTCCATTGATCATTACTACCTTATGGACCAGATCGGGATATTCGTGCGCCAGGAAGGTACAAAATGACACTCTGGAAGAGATATAATGGGGTAGGTACAGCATGTTAATCACTGTACGCCACTGACTTTTCTAAGCTGACCCGTAACACAAGCATCTCACAAATCCTCACCCATATGAGTGCCCAATAAGAATGTTGCGTTTACGAGCATATCTCTTGAAGATGGCTCGCAGGTCCTCCGCGAGGGCATAAAAGGTATAAGCTGCTGCAATCTGTGGCGCTGTGCTTGCTCCGTGACCTGCCAAATCTGGCGCAATGACCTCGTAGCCCAGGCGGGAGAAAAAGTCCAGCTGGCTGCTCCAGATGTCAAGAGATCCTCCGACGCCATGCACGAAGAACAGTGCTACATCCGAGTGCGTTCCTTTGCAGCTCGAGATCATCCTCTTGGAGTCTATTAAAACTGTGCGCTTGGGTTTGCGACGGCGGCGGCGTGGAGGCGGAGCAGGTTTATGTTCCCCAGGTGGTGGAGGAACTGGAGGAGGAACAGGGTTGGGGTCTGGAGAAGAGGCTATGTCTTTGTAGTCAGCAAGCTCCACCTCTACAGTGCTGCAGGGCTCTAAATCCCCATCCTGACACTGCAGAATCTCAGAGTGCAAAACATCCCCGAGATTTTCGATCACCAGCTGGCCATTTCGGTAGACTGTGATCTTCCTCTTGCAGTGGACAATGCTGCCACTGTCGCCGTCATTATTAGATATGGGAGAATCTTTATCATAACAGTCAACATCTGCATTGTCCTTTTCAGCAACTTGTTTTTCTGTTTCTATGGGTTGGCGCTCGGGGACGATATGCCGCACTCTCAGGACCCTCCCAGGTTTCACCTCCACATACTCAAAACCATCAGAGGGTTCTGATGACTCCAGGGGCAAGACTAGATTGGCAGTCTTCCCAGTCAGGCAGCACAGTATCCCTTCAGTGATGCTAGTCAGCATGGTGTTTCCCTGCAGGAACAACATCACACAGACACAAATAAAACATATCAGTACTCTGATGCTTCCTTTGAGATGTGGGAAAAAAAATATTTTTCATGTCTTGCCCTACTTTTCACAGCTCATTTAGTGTCACAGTTTCAAACATTCAAGCATTCTAACTTGTTCCATTTGCAGTGCTTTGCCAATGGCATTGGCTGCACTGCAAGAAATTGGACCCAGCTTGATTCCTACAAAACTGAACCCAAGCTGTTTCCTAGCAACAGAGACACAATGAAAAGGCTTTCTTTATCCTTCATCAGTCCAGAGCCAGAAAGAAAGTACGCCAAAATAAAGGGTACTTTAACACATTTCAAAATCAATATCATATCCAACAGAGCTGTTTAAGTCTCTACTAACACACTCACCTCAGTGACTCACCTGGCTTGACATTCTGATGCATTCAACAAACAACTGCAAAGCAGTATTTGCACCACACACCATGTCAAAAACCTAGGCCAAGCTAGATGTCTGCTATTAATAACCCCTCCATTTCACAGGGTCAGAATCAGGATATATATAAATAGAGAACTCCAGTCAGAGGGCATGACTGTACACATGTCTGCGGACTGTGTGTCTCACGACAACGTGATAGCAGTTTTCCAAACTGCGTTCTTTCCAGCGGGAGATGAGAGCTGGTTTCTATGTTTCCGTTCAGGTCCAGCCACTGCTTGACAGTCTGCTGTCAGCAGCACAAACACACACGTTAGTGTCCCCACTTTTGATACAAAACACAGTTATCTCTAGGAAACACACAAGGCTGAGTCACATCTTCAGTAGCTGGTGAGACTTTATTGTTTACTTGTTTGTTTCCTTGTTTAAGGAACTGCTGTTGTGTCTATGCACTATGTATGCATTATCTGCACTATCATTCAGCACACTTTTGTGTGAATGCAAAGTGATCTCACTGGATGCAAAATGAACCCTTATTTTTACACACAAATTGAAAACCCTTGTAACATTTGAGTTGAGCTGCATTCGCAACTCATCACCATTTAGCATTATGTGCATTATTGTAGGATATTTGTGCATTCCCCTATATTAATGTGCGTTTTGGCAAAGTATACTGAGAAGTACAAAATAGTACATGTTGTTTACATCTTTATTGTCTTCCAATCATGCTGGGTGCTTAGTATATTTAATGATTGGTACCTTGACAGGTTTAAAGAAATATAAAAACAAAATGTAAATAGTGGGAATGATTATTTGTTGGTGGATGTCTGTGGAAATCTGACAAAAACAAATCCTTTAGGTATATTTTTGTATATTGTGCACGTGCCAGTTTTTCAAGCACCCTACACCTTACATTAAAACAGAACATCAACACAAGAAGCAAAATCCTCCCCAAAGAGCAAGGTTATTACCATGCTAGTCTGCAAAAATAAAATAAAACAAAACAAAAAACCCAAAAACACATACATAAAAAATATTCTACATGGCCACCGACAATCAACAGATCGGCACAAAACAAACTACAGCAGCACAAATCCAACAGTCCTCCCACTTAAATCTGGGCTTCTCTTCCTGACCTACAATTCTCCAATCCCACCAGCAGGTCTGGAACATGGCTGTGGGGTGCAATGTAATGGTTTCCGCGACATCCAACCTCGACCAAAGTCAGGGCTGAAGGTTACTCAGCCATGTTGAAGTTGTTTGTTTTGTGTGTCTGCATTGCAGAATATTTAGGTTGACAGGCCTGCCAACTCTTACAGTAACACACATTCGGTACACTGTGTGCTGCTGCATTTCCATAACAAGAGTCTAGCAGAGTGAGGCGCAAGATGCACGTGAAGTGAGTGGCCTATATTTTCAACATGAGACCGTTATGTTAAAAACGCCTGATTCACAAACATTTAGCGGCTTGGCTCCTACAACAACACATTATTATTATTATTTTAAACAATTTATACATCGCAATAAGATTCAAATACTCACAAATATGCGCACCAAAAATGTTTATATAAATATTTATATATATAACAGTTTTAGGCTTCACAAATAGTGCGCTTTGAATGATACTGCTTGTATTATTCATAATCTGTTATTATTTTAATCCTGTCTCAGGCGAAATGCATGCATGCATCATGCGTGCAGCCGTTTATTGGCGCTGATATGCTGCACAGTAAACATCAGGTATCCAGATGCCACAGAGCAATACAAAAAAAGCTAAAACAAAACCAAAACCAAAAGATTTGCATTACCTGCAGAAGTACTGGTGATTACGGTGATGAGAAACCTGCACCCAAAGATGACAGTCAAGGGCCGACCACACGGTATCGAGAACGGCGTTGCATCTGGCGCAACAATTTGTCTACGCTAGAGATGCTGCAAAACAGTAAAAGCTCCTTATTGGCCCAATTAGACCGTCATTACAGACCGCAGGGGGGCATGGAGTGAAGATAAAGCATGCATCCATAAAAGAGTGCCACTGGTAGTTTAATGATATACCCATTACGAAAACAGACGCCCGTGTTTTTCTCGCTTCCTCTGCATCCACTGCGTACTCGGGCCAGACCCTACCCAGCCCTGCTGCCCTTGAATCCGCAGCACCAGCAGCAATCTTCGGGTATTTTCGCTGCTGAGTGGCGGTGAGGAGGGCGAATAGAAAGCAGTTGTATATTGAGGAGGCCAATGAGAGGCGCCTGTTTGCTTGTTGCTAGGGCTGACAGGCCAGCAAAAAAAGAAAGAAAAAAAAGGGGAAAGACTGTGTGGTCCTGCCTGGGCGCTGAAAAGGAGACAAATGATAAAAATGACTGTCCGGCTAATTTATCTAAATTAATTGGGCTGGCACGTGACCACAGTCGGGGCTCTGCGTGGGGTCTTATTTCAAATCCCACATCTGATTGCGGACTATGATCATAAAGTGCCACCTGAGAACGAGTTATTGTTGCCTCACAGACGTGACCTTTCAGTTTTAATCTAACACATTTCGAGCAGTGCCCCCTTCTTGAACTCACATAGCAAATTGGTAGGCCTGCTGCTGTGACAGTCCAGTGCCAGTCACTGGAAAGCAATCTGTGACGTTTATTGGGCGGAGAGCCCGTGAGCCAACTGGGTGCTTTGTTTTATTGCTTGGCGTAAATAATCATTGGTTTATCTGTTTGTATCTGTGTTTTGGACGATTAAAATTCAATTTTAAAAAATTAGGCCTTTATCACTGATACCGGCCTAAAAACAAAACGTGCGTCAGTTCTTTTCAGGATTCCTCAGTCAGCATGCCAGGATAGACTATACAGAAACTTTATTATAAAAACATCTTCTCACATCTAAAGCTCACAAGCTCAAACTGAGCATTAGAGTGAGGAAGAAAGGTCATTTAAGTGACTTTGAAAGTAGAATGGTTGCTATTGTCAGACAGAGTATTTCAGAAACTGCTGATCTACTGGGATTTCCAAAACATGGAAGAATGGCCTGAAAATGAAAAAATATCTAATAAGCGGCAGTTCTCTTACAGAAAATGCTTTGTTGATGTGAGAGGTCAGGGGAGAATGGCTGAACTGCTTTGAGCTAATTGGAAGGCAATGGTAACTCAAATCCCTACTCTTTATAACCAAGGTATGCAGGAGAGCACTATTGAATGCACAATATGCCAAGATTTGAAGCAGTTAAGCTACAGAAGACTGCAGATTCAGCTAAGAACAGGAAAATGAGGACATAGTTTACACATGTTACCAAATCTTGACCAAAGCATGGATCCACCCTGCCTGGTATCAACAATTCAGGCTGGTGTTGGTACAATGGTGTTTTCTGGGCACATTTTATGCTCCTTAGTAAGAACTGAGCACACAGCCTAGATGACTGTTGTTGATCACTATGCCCATCTCATTGCTAAGGCCACTGTGTATCCATCTTCAGGCTGCACCCAGCAGAATAATACACCCTAAAGTCAAATAATCTCAAATGGCTTTCTTGAACATGACAGTGTGTTCACTGTACTCCATAATCACCACATCTCAATCCAAAAGAGCATCTTTGAGATGTGGTAGAACAGGAGATTAGGACCATGGATGTGAAAACAACAGATATGCAGCAACTGTGTAATGCGCATGCCAACATGGACCAGAAAAATGTTTCCAACACCTTGTTGAATTTATGCCATGAAGAATTAAGGCTGAATTAAGGCGATAGGGGGTTCAACCTGGCACAAGCAATGTAAAACTCATAACATGTCTGGTGGGTCATTCACCCTATTAGAGCAGTTAGAATATACAAATGCTAAATACCTTGCACCAACGTAAATGTGGTGTAAAAACTAAAAAAAATAAATAAAAGTCAGTCCAACGGGACCAAAAGCAGTTGTACCGTGACTCAGAGTAATATCCAAAAATACTTCATTTTAATGTAACCATTTCTGTGGATCTTACACGCTGGGGTCAGTAGGTGGCAGTATTCAGTTTTGCAGTCTTTCAACAAAACCAAAGAAGAAGAAGCAGACCTGCCTGTGACATTCATTGCTCTCATGTCGGTGTCATCTGTACATTCCTAAATATCTCAAAATGAACATTATGCTGTCCTCATTTTCCCGACTGCGTGGTCTAACTCACGTGCGTAGGTAAGCGACTTAAGTTATTTGCACGCGAGGTTAACCCCGAAGCAAACAGTGTTTCTTTATGAGGCTAACATTGAAAAGCTAGCTTGGTAATCAGTTAGCAGCATGGCTAGTTGCAGTTAACCTGGATAGATACTCATGGGAACTTCTATTTAGTCAAGCAATGGCTAAACCAAACACTACTGATTTACATTTATAGGCGATGTTACGTTTAATTGCGAATAAGCAGTGTGGGCATGGGGAAAAACACAGAGTAATAATGTTTGCTATAAAGAAAAAAACAGTTTTGGGGGGTGACTGAAACACTTTTCTGCTCTAATTTTTGCACAAGTTATTTTATCCGTACAGTATTCTGCTTGCATATGTTATGTAGAGGAGACCGGGGCCAGTTGTAGCGATCTGTTATTCAAAGCGGGACCAACTTTCTTTGATCATGCTCATTATGGTTGATCAGCCTACTCTAAATATAGGTGTTGTTTGCTATAATGCAAGATTTTAACATGGAACCTTTTTATTGTCCCAGGTAAATATCGTATTCAAGTAAAATGCACTTATAACTCAACACAAAGACTTAAAACCTATTTTGTAGAAGCTAGAACTGTTGTAAAGTTTCTGGAAAAACAGAAATGGATGTCTTGAATGTATACTCTACAATAACACACACACACACACACACACACACACACACGAGTGTGTGTGTTTCTTTTATGAAAATATGACCAGTATATTTCACGTAGTCTGTGAGCTATCAAGGAAAATGTAAAAGATGTTATAATTGCCCCCGGTCCACCACTCTTTAAGACAACCTGCACTAAATTTTGTTTGCAAATTCTTAATTAGCCCCTTTATTGTAAATATTGAAGCAGTACAACTGATATAATGCTGTTGTGAAAAAATGAAACCGTACACATAAACTTCATTATGATAAATGGATTTACAACTTGCACGACGTTACTGTATTATTGTGGCATAATTTTGAAATTAGAGTAACATATTTCAACAACATTTTAATCTTTGTTCTTCCAACAGCATTCCCACAGCAGACCTAACTGGAACCTCTTACCTTAGATCGTTCAGCAGCTGGATTGGTCCTGGAGCAGCTGCTAGAACACAGGTTTTCAAAGCTTCAGATACAATTTCTTCACAAGCTGAAGGTTCAGGAGTGTTTCAGCAGGTTCCCTGGCAGTACCAGCAGGTACGGACCCGGAAAAGAGGCACCGAGTATCAGCCCAAAAACATCAAACGAAAGAGAACCCACGGCTGGATCAAAAGGATCAGCTCACAAGGAGGCATCGAAGTGATTCTGCGGCGGATGTTGAAAGGACGGAAATCGCTCACACACTGAAAGTTCCCAATGGAAGATTTGACTTTAAAGAAACAGACCTTGGTTCTTATATGCTGAAGGTGCTCAGCATGCAGCAAAGAACTTGTGTATTGGGTTAACTGGTGTGATACTGGGTGTGGTGTGGGTCTGGCAGTTCCACAGTATTGGTCTTGAGAGTGTAAATGTGCCCTGTAGTTTTGCCCACCCTCTCTGGTCAGGGCGGTTTTGGTCAAAGTCATTACGTGTTAGCACATTTGTGTGACTTCATTTCTTTTTCTTTTTGAGTAAACATTGTTGACTTAAAGAAAAATGTTCCTATAATAAAATTATTTTCCAGAATCAGCATGGTTGGCCTGAAAATGAAAATACCACCTTCACTTCTGTTAGTTTTGTCCTGTTTAGAATGGCTTTTGTAGAGTCGCTGTGCTCATGAGCATGATCAGTTCATTTGCAGCAAAAAAATAAGTCTGTGTTACCTTAGTTGACACAACTATATACATTATTTATTCTGCATATCTGATAAATGTGTATTGTGCTTGAGTAAATGAAACGTCACAACAGTGGTCTAAAAAAACTAAAGATTGCCCTTTGGTTTGTACCAAAAAGCTCCTTTTTTGATATTTGACAGATACAGAGGCTCAGAATTAACTGGACGATTGACTAACAATCAGTTTTGTGGCCAGATTGGCCCTGTTTCGTCATTAGTCCGTGACAAAATCAATAAAAAGTGATCAGATAACACTTAGTGGAAATGAATAATGACCCAAAGCATACTGCAAAAGGCAAGAGTTCGTCAAAAGGAAACAGTGTGGTATTCTTTAATGGCCAACCCGACAGAGCATGCTTTCAGGTATTATATACAAAACCAAAGGCAGGGAGACCCACAAACAAGTGGCAACTGAAGGCGGCTGCCATCAAGACCTAGCAGAACATCCCAACAAATCAGAACCAGAAGTACTTTACTCTTTTGTACTCCTTGGTATAACTCTCAAACATGCATCTAATTTAGAAGGTCTTCATTTAGGCTGTACAAATAGTTTGTTGCTCTAAAAAAGTCCTCCCTAAAGCTAGGACATCTTACTATTTATCAAATAAGAACAACCCTAGGTTTCTCTTCAGCACTGCATTCAGGCGAACAGAATCCAAGCTCTGTTGATCAAACATTTCCCTTAACCTTAACTAGTAATGACTTCATGAGTTATTTACAAATAAAAATGTAACCATTACAAAAATAGTCACAGCCATGCCACAGATGCGTTTTTAAGAACAGCAACTGCTGATATATCTTAGTTTACTTCAATAATGTCTTCCCCTTAACCATCAATCTGTCTTTTAGACCACACTGACCCCTCTTGAAACAGTAGTTGTTAAAGAGCTTGCTGCAGAGTTAGAGTTTGTGCCAAGATTTAGTGCATCATAGCACAGCACTAGTGAAAGTTATGAATGATTTTCTGGCCTCTGGCAGGAAACTTTATTTCTATGTTTTCCTATTAGACCTCAGTATTTAACTACAGAGAGATTTTACTACACACTTGCTTTTGCACTGCACTGATAGACTACAGTTTGGTTATGTAAATGAGGAGTCTTCACACACAAGTTAATCATGTATAACATTGACCAGTACTTTTTACATTGTACATGCTTCCCCTAGGCAACATTATTAGAAAACACTGCAAAAGTGTCCATATTTTCATTCATATACAGATGACACTCAGCTTTATTAAGCAACAGAGCTAGATGACACGATTCTAGTTAAAGACATAAAGGTCTGGATGATTTCTGATTTCCTGCTTCTAAATGCAGATAAAACTGAGGTTGTAGTACTTGGCCCTAAAAATCTTAGAAATATGGTCTGTTATCAGATACCTACTCTGGATGGCATTACCTTGGCCTCCAGTAACAAGGTGGTTTCATTTTTGACCACAACATGTTCTAGAGTGAGCACATCAAACAAATATATAGGACTGCCTTCATTCATTTGTGCAACATCTCTAAAATTAGAAAAATCTTTTGTCAGAGTGACACTAAAACAAGTTCAACCATTTTCAAAATCAAGATTGCTACATATCACTTAAAATCCAGAAAATCCCAATCTTAAATCATTACACTAATCAAAATATAAGAGAAGGTCATTTATTTCCTTGAAAAATGCAATCAAAAAACATTCATGACCAACACAGACTGTTGGTTATAAATTGTTAATGCTACCCAGTCACATGCAAAGTGTTAAGGCCAGTGCGTGACCCACTTGCCACTGGGACACAAACTTCAATACAAGAGCAGTAAATGTCAGAGTAATGACTAATGTCACAAACTAACTATGTACCATTACCAATTTTAATTCATACTAAATATAAATATGAAGCTGTAGGTAGTGATTTAATTTCAAACTGAACTTGTTATTGCTGCCGACCACCTGCAGTACCTTCGCAGCCCACCAGGGGTCCCCAGCCCAAACTTTGAGAATCACTTCATACATTTATGAAGACAGCGCTTCACAGTGCAAATGAATAATGAGCCAAAGAGTTCCTCAAAAGAAAATGATGTGGTATTATTCAATAGTCAACCCAACAGAGCATGCTTTCAGGTATTATATACAAAACTGTTGGCAGAGAGACCCGCAAACAAGTGGCAACTGAAGGTGGTTGCAGCCAAGACCTAGCAGAACATCCCAAGGTAGGCTGGACTGTCATACATTATTCTCAGGCTGTCCTAAAAACTCCCTGAAAAGCCTTCATTTAATCCCAAATAGTCTGTATGTTTATTGTCCACTACTGTATTTAATCATTAGTTATTATTAAACTCTGGCTCTTTCTCCCATAGTGTGTCTTTTGTCCTGTCTCTCTGCTTTCTTCTCTTTCCACTTACACTTAACTGGTCTTGGCAGATGGCTGGCCCTTCCTGAACCTGGTTCTGTCAGAGGTTTCTTCCTGTAAAAAAGAGTTCTTCCATGAAGTGCTTGCTCTATCTGATTGTTAGGGTTTCTTTCTAATATTCTAATATAAAACATATTGAGGCGACTATTGTTGTGAATTAGTGCTATTTAAAAGAAAACTGAAATGAATTCAAATGTTTAAATGTTTTAAATCAATTAAATTGTGTTGTAGCTCTTCAAATATGAGTTTAAAGGTAGGCTTTGTCTAGTTTTTTTTTTTTTTTGGGGGGGGGGGGCTGAACATTTACAGTTTAACACCCTTGCAATATTCTTAAACCATTGTTGTAATTCATTTTAACTGAATATACACGACAGGAATCAGTCCGATCACTAAATTAATGTTATTGTTATTATAGCTTGTTTTATGCTGCTGTATAATCTGCGTTTTTAACACTCCCTCCCTCTGTGTGCAGATCCCCAGAAGCTGATAAACGGTGTACGTGCGGGAGGAATAGTGGAGAAAGTAGTGTTGTTTTTATGAGCACCCTCGTCCATAACCTGCGTCGTATTGGGGAATTTGTCTTCTACGTCATGACTTTCTGGCCAATCGGCTTCTTGCTCTTTCTCTCTTTTCCCAGACCTGTCACTGCTCAGCCAATGAGATAGGCTGGGTATTAGAAGATAGCCGCCCATAAGAGACGAACAACAAATATGGAGTTTTAAAATAGTAGCAAGTTGGCGGCCAAAAAGCCCCTAAAACTCGGCGTTTTTGTAGTTACACGAGTGGTAGTTTTCTACCTGACTGAAGTGACGCGATGCAATCATATCAAACGTAGTTTATGTTTTGTAGCAGGCGCCGTTGAACGGGTAAACAGTTCGGTATCTTGGCTTCGACAAAAACAAGGCTTAGTAGCTAGCTAGCTAAAGCAGTAGCATTTGCTGGTTTTCACCCTCACCGTGCTTTGCTCAATAAGAGACGAAGAGCACGACGCAGGCAGAAATGGAGAAGGTTGGTTCATAGATACTTAATTCCTGAACTGTTTAAGTTGCTATTGCGTCGAATTGCTTGTTGTAGCAAGTGCGACGTGTTGTAAATAGTCTGTCACGTTACAAATACGTCACCTTGATAAATGTGAAGGGCAGGAGTTGTTTGTGCAACCTGCCTGAGTGTGTTTTACATCTGGTAGTGTATGTGTGTCGCAGCTGCAGTTACACTTAAGTGTTTATCGTCTTATTTTTCTGTTGTGTATACAGAGAGATTTCTTGAAGGGACTGCCCGTCTACAACAAAAACAACTTCAGCAGGTTCCATGCAGACTCTGTGTGCAAAGCCTCAGTGAGTGATGCTTGTGTTTCTCATTATGCTCAGATGTTTTCATTTCTAATCTGAGCTCAAGAACGTTTTGTCATGTTGTGATGCCTTTATTGATGTCTGAAGCAGTTTAAACAATAATAGACTAACTTGGACCTCTGTCTTATTCTTTCTTTTTCTTTTGGTAGAACCGTCGACCATCTGTGTATCTTCCAACTCGGGATTATCCCTCAGAGCAGAGTAAGTACACACCCAGTGAATGGCCTCTAGGCTTTTACGTTCTTTCTCACAGATTGCTAAACTTTGGACTGATGTCAACTTGTCATAGGCTTATCAGTATCACCTTACAGTGTTGTGAAAAAGCATTTGCCCCTTCTTTGTTTCATATTCTTTCTTTTTGCATATTTGGCACACTTTCATGTTTCAGATCATTAAACGAATTTTAATATTAGTCAAAGTAAATGACTGAGTAAATACAATATCCACTTAATTAACTGATCATTTGTCAGAGGAAGCCTGCTTAGCCCTGTGTGGAAAAAGTAATTGCCCCAACCCCTGTGCAGGCATAAAAATCTCAAAAAGGAACACATTATAAAACAATCTAAAAAAACAGCAGAGAAACAAAGTCACTGACCTCTATCAGTCTTTGGTTACAAGTTGTTTCTAAGGCTGGGACTCCACTGAACCACAATGACAGCCATTGTCCACAATTTGGGAAAACAGTGGTGAACCTTCCCAGGAGTGTCCCATTACGTATGGCATAAAACTAACACAGCATTTAATAAAAGCAGCATCATATCGGCAGTCAAACATGGTTGTGGTAGTGTCACGGTCTGATGTTGCTTTGCTGCTTCAGGACAACTTGCTGTAACAGATGGAACATGAATTCTGCTCTATACCAGAAAACGCTGAAGGATAATGTCCTGCTATAACTTTGTTCTGAAGCTCAAGCTTACTTGATTTATACAGCAGGACAATGATCCAAAACATACACCTCTGAAAGGCTAAAAAAAAAAGGTGTTTGAGTGGAGTGGACTAGTCAAAGTCTAGACTTACTGTAAATCCAGTTGAGATGCTTTGGCATGATGTTAAACAGGTTGTTCATGGTAGAAACCCCTCCAATATGGCTGAATTAAAACAATTCTGCAAAGTAGAGTGGGCCAAATTACTCAGCAAGTTCACAGCAATGTGAAAGACTCATTACCAATTGTCACAGAGATTTGATTGTAGTTCCTGCTGAACACAGCTGAGACTGAGGAGGTCACTCATCCAAGTGACAAAACGTTCTCTCATTGAAAATGCTACATCCAGATGAACAGAATCAACCTTTTGGGATGTACTTACCTGGATGATTGAGCATGCATCAAGACAGGGAAAGGGGTAAAAAACAAACAAACAAAGAAATCAGGAAGCTGGCAAATACATTTTCACATCACTGTATATGATGTCTCATATTGTTACTCTCAGCAGTAGGCATTAGATGTGTGCAGTCAAGTAAAATCATTTATAAAATGCTCTATATGGTTGGAGATGGCTCATCATTTAACATGTTCACTTTGACTCAAATATATTGTCTACCTATTTATGCATTTAGAGATTATTGGCTGATACATTGATATCACAATTCTTTTTATTCCCTAAACATTGATGTCTGCATCTTCCCCAAAAGTCACTCTACATAAACACTCTGCATCTACTATGCATTTCTACATTTGTTTTCTCTTTTTGCATTGTGTGCTTTTGTGTTTCTCATGATCAGATTATCTCTGTGTTTTTGTTCCTCAGTCATAGTCACAGAGAAGACAAACATCTTATTACGATATCTACATCAACAGTGGGATAAAAAGGTAAAGGCTTTTAAATATCGTTCATCTAATGGAGGAAGCAGTTTCTGCTAACTATATTGTCTATGATGGCACGTCTCCATTATGTTGTAGTTCAGTGGTTAATGTCCTTTTCCTTACTCCATCAGAATGCGGCAAAAAAGCGAGAACAGGAACCAACAGAAGGGGAGAACACGGCACCTCCACGAAAAATTGCAAGAACAGACAACAGAGAGCCGAATGAAGCTTCATAAACTGCTGCGCCATCGATTCTCTGAGTAGAGACTGACCCACTCAGACAAAATGCACGAGCCGCTGCAAAATACATGTTTGCAAACAAGTTTGCCACAGCTGCACAAGCAGTTTGATTTCAGACCACAGCTGTCAAGTTGTTCTTAATGTTTGGACTTGACTTTAGAGCTCCTCCTTAACCAAATACCTTTTTCCTCAGTTTATTCACTGCTTTCATGCATTGTTTTCTTCACTTTGAGGAGGCCGTACTTCTACTTCAGAGGTTTGTTTTTTCTTTTCATAGTAGTCTTAAAATGATCAAACATCTACCTCCTTATTGCTCAGTCCCTGTGGTTTTATTCCACTTACACCCATGTAGTTTTTATTTAAAGATGCCAGGGATTTAAAAAAAAACAAAAAAAACTTTTGGGCTGACCCTTTAAAGGTTTACAGTTGCAGTAATTCACACATATCTGAAATGTGCATGTGCTGTGAGATGACCTTGTGGATATTTTTCAATCAGGAACTTACATTTTTGAATTATGAACAATTTCTGTTGTTACTTATGTCATTTTAGGTAATCTTTTTAAAGATTACTGCTATTACAATAAGTGGAAATAATTATTTTAATAGTGGTTCAGGTTTAGCGTTAGATTCAGGGTTTGTTTTTATGAGCTGTGTTGCAGAAACAAGACGAGTGATTGAAGAAATGTTTTTCTCCCGATGAATAATAACTATAATGATTTATTGCCTTATGTGGAAATGAGTGTGTTTCCACTTGCGTCTTAGGGTGCCCCTTGGTTTACATTGTGTTTCAGGAAGATTAAGCACTGCAGAATTGGATGGACTTTGGTGTAAGAAAACATCCAAGCCAATATTTATACTAGAGGATGCAATTTTTACTTGTACATATTTTGTAGCTAAAATCTCAGCTTCTTAATACTTCAGCAGTTGGATCTTTGTAATGGCACCATCAGCACAGTATTTGACTGAATATGTGTAAATTTACACTTTAGCCATACTGTTGTTTTGAGGGACTACTGAGCATCCTAGATGTAAATGTGCTGTTCTCATGTGCTTAAACACGTCAGTCATTTGAGCCATGTTGAGGAAATATATTTGGATCAACAAGGTTCAGTACATACATTGCGAAGAGTGAAGCTGCTCCCATGGCTCTGCGAATCTTGTATATTTGTACAGTATGTGTATTGTGATTGCCCTCACCTTTTTATCAGGTAACAAGACTCACTCCAATTTTGTCTTTCCCAAGCTAGCTGTAGTTATCCTCAAATTGTTAAGACAACTTTTATGCTGTAGGGAGTTTCTGTAAATGAAACAAAAGCATTTAACTAATTTGCTGCGTTTTTGCACCTTAGGTAAGAAATACCTTTTGAAAAGTTTAACCTGCTACAGTGTACACGAGCCAGCCACAAATTAAAACTGACCTTATGTCATGTCGATCCCCCCTCGTGCAACAGCTTTGAGTGTGTGGAATTTAAGGGATGGGTCAGTGCTTTGGGCTCTTTGTGTTGGTTGAGCTGTTCCTGGGCAGTTTGATGTTTGGCCAGAAGCAAGTGCTGTCTGTTTAAACGCCCACTTTATTTAAGAGAAAGTGGGTGATAGACTTGTGTATTTCATCTTTCAGAGGTTTTATCAGTGTGTCTGACTCATGAATGTTCACTTTCGTCGCTTGTGCAGGTCAGTGGAATGAGAGTACACATAGATTTCACAAGTACTACTTTAAACCTGAAAGAGGCAGTGTATTTTCTTTAGCTTCATATAAGAGTCACCCATTTCTCCTGATGTCTTATGGTTTGTATTCCATCACTTGATTAAGTTTGTTGTTTTGCTTTGAGTTGATTGTATAACTGTATTGTCAGTTTTGGATGTTCTTGTATAGATTGCTCTGTGACATGCAGTAAAGATGACTCTGTAATCAGCAGCCAGTCTTTGGGTGAAACTGAAGAAAGATCCTTCTTTCTGATTGCATGTGCAAATATGCAGGTAATATACAACACTTTAAACACTTGTTTATTTTTTTTATAGCTTGGCACCTGAAAGCTTTAATACCATGTTTATATAAGAGAATACACCAATGACCACTTAAGTACAGTTCTTTTAATAATTGGTTGGACCCACTTGTACCCTCAGAAATGCCTGAATTCTCCACAGCATAGATCCAACCAAGGGCTGGAAGCATATTTCAGAGGTTTTGGTCCATATTGACATGACAGGATCACACAATTATTGCAAAATGGAAATTGCTCAAATTTTCTATTGTCCAGTTTTGGTTAACCTTTGCAAATTGTAGCCTCACTTTCCTGTTCTTTTCTCGACAACAATCACACCCGCTTTGGTCTTCTGCTGTGTAGCCCATCTGCTTCAAGGTTTGATATGTTGTGCATTCAGAGATCCTGATAATTTGAGTTACTATTGCCTACCTATCAGCTCAGTTTCCAAAATACTCTAAGACCAACCCCTCTAGCAACAACAACCATGTGTTCCTTCCTTTCCCGTTCTGATGCTCAGTTTGAACTACAGCAGTTCATCTGGACTATGTCTGCATGGCTAAACAAGCAGTTGAACAGATATACCTAATAAACTGGCCTCTGAATGTATATGAGCGTTTTAATTCAAGGCCCTACATCCAGCAAAGAAATTGATCCAGCAGCGCGGTCAGTCATACAGTGAGTGTTTTATTTCTCGATGGGCGTTTATTAAAGTGAGATTTATTTGCATCAAGGAAGTACATTCACTAATTTATGTAGTAAAATAATTCATAGAAAATCAAAGTTAAGAAAAATAGAATATTTTTTTTATGGTCACAGTGAATAAATCTGACCTATTGCGGAGGAATACAATGGCTTTGAAAGTGCTTCACAACTCAAAAGACATAATGGAGAAGTAATGCATGCACATAATGCAACATGCATTTTATACAGGCATCAAAATGAAGGAGAAATAAACACAGAATGGGAAGTTGCTGCTCGTGACATCTGACAAAAGGGCTCATTGGTGATAAAGTCCTGGAAATTGAGGGGGGGGAAACTATCGTTCACATCAATACAGTGTGTTTTGGTGCTGTTGAAAACCACTCATGCAGTAATTGAACCTTCATTAAAGGTTACTCAAGCTCCATTCAAGGAGTTATGCTTACTGTACATTTTTACATGGAAGTTAGATAGTCGAGTGTTAATAGATACAGTTTAATGTTTTGTGAGAAGTAAGTTGCATGAAGTGTGAAAGTCTAATCCTCGCTGACTTTACATGTGGTCCTCATGACTGTTCTCCTGCAGTGCAGGTGCATCAATGTCACTTGTATGCTGCTCTCCACTTTATAATAATACACTGGTTTGGCTGATCATTTATTAAGTCTTTGAGTTGGAGCTTTCTAAATCAGTCAGTTGTTTCGATTCAACTTTATCTGACTCATTCGAGGGTAATTCCTCTGAGGATGTGTTTAACTCAACCCTACTGGGTTGAGTGTTAGCAGCCTGGGTGGTCAGCTGTGTCCCATTTGCGCACACCACAGTACCCTCTGACTTGCTGAAGCTGAACAGCTTCCCAGGACTGAATGTCCGGTTGGGGGATTGTGACCTCTCCTGGCCACTAGGGGGAACTGAAGAGGTCACTGTTGACCCCTGCATGGCTCCAACTGCCACTGCTGGCTCTTTTTTCACCTCAGGTGACTTCAAGAACTTCAGAAATCCCGGGAGCTTTGCTTCGCCTCCCGTTGGGGACTGAGCCGGTGAGCGTGACGTGCCGGAGGAGAACTTCCCCTGAAGAGGAATGATCTGCTTAAGCTTCATCACATTGTTGTTTCCCAGCAGAGAGCTTGGTCTCTTGGGCTTGTCCCCTGGCTTGCTTACTTGTGTTTTGTCATGGTGATGCTGGTGCTGGGTGTCTGCCTTATGGCAGTCACTCTCCTGACGGGCTTCGGCCTGCAGCTCAGCATGACGCTGAAGCTCTTCTTCTTCACGCCGGCGCCTGAGCTGCTGCTGGAAGTGTTGTTGGGCCTGCAGCTCATGCTTCTAAAGAGGGAGAAGTTTGACATTAAAGAGAGAAGATGAGGGATAAATACATATAGAAATACACATTGAAATATTATCCATTTAAAATATATATGCTAACAGTGATGAAATGCAAACATAAATACAAATATCTAGATTTTTTTTCCCATTTTGGCTCATAGTTGTGTTGCTATCTCTATAATGAGACTTATCATCAAGACAAGATGCCAACAAGACTATACAGACAAACACATACAGTTACTTCTTCATTACAATCAGAAAAGGCTTCACTGGTGTGCATTGTTGGATAATGCACACCATGAGGCACCAAGGGGCACAAATGTAGAGATATACAAAGACATGACACAGTATGCAGCCAACAGCAAGCCTTACGTTGGCCGAAGGTCTTTCAAGCTATCACAGTTATACCTTGAAAGCTTCCCTTCGTCGGTACTCTAGCTTGGCCATCTCTTCTGCTACCCAGCCAGGGATATCAGGGATGGCAACATGGATGATGTACTTTAGGAGGATTGCAAAGTGCTGTAAACCACCAAGACCACAAAGGGACACTCTCAACACACAGTTCCACCAAGGCACAATGGCATTCTCCCACTCCCGCCTGTCTTTAATATTTCTATTGAACATGTCATACAAATACCAAAAATCACAATAAATATAAGAAAATATCATTTTCCACATTTACAGAAAACAAACAAAGGTCTTCCCTGCCAAATCTACACGACTGCAAATACCTCCAATAGGACGATGGAGATGATGGTCATTTCAGGACTAAGCCAGGGGAACAGACGTTGAAGCTGCCCGCACTGACCAATAAGGTAGCAGTTAACTATAATGGCTATCAAGCCCATGGCCTCCATCGCAGTCTGGTGACACACAGGGAGAGATATTTACATATTATCAGATGCCCCTGCTGTGCACACTGGAGCCTGGAGGCTTTTCTGACATTTTTCAAAGCATGACACACACTGACCTGCCATTGTCCTATGTTCTCCACCCTCTGCCCAAACGGTCTCTGCAGGCCGGTACAGAGCTTCAGGGCATCGCTGCGTATTTCGATGATGTTGTTGATAAGGGCGCACATGGCCGCCAGCGGAAACGCAGAAGAGAAAAGCACCACATAGCCAAACTGAATGAACATCTCCTGGTAGTCCTGAAGTGTGTCCTGTCAGGGTCAAGTTGTCATTAAGCAACAAAATTTCTATTAAATGTTAAATTATTTTCAGTTTAAGTGTCGTCCTACCTCGTATGTCTGCATACAACTCTCAATCTCGGCCTGGGTCAGAGTGACAGTTTTTGGCTCTTCCGGTGGATCGATCCATGATTTCTTGTCATCATTGCCCTCCCCCACATTCCTTCTTCTCTGACAGACAGAGGTGGTATTGTCTTTGGTGTCCTGCTAAAGTAAATATTAGACTGCTAATCTAGTAACAGGAGCTTTAATTCTATAGCTTTGCATTGCATACTTTAGTTGTGATATTGTGAGATAAATGACTCTCAAACAGCACAGTGTAATATTGAGACCTTTGATACCTATTAAAGCAAAGGATGTCAATTTTGCATCTTAAAGACATACGGCAAGAATACGAAGCAGCAATAGAATCTGATACACAGTTCAATTAAGAAAACCACATACTTGAGGCAGCACTTCACAATCACTGTCCTCATCGCAGCTATCAAAAATACTGGAAGGATCCATGCCCTCCTCCACCAGCGTGGGACTGTCCTCTAGGGAGCTGTCATCTGCTGCCTGCGTGTCCATTGTGACATCCTGGTAGTCGACCTTCTCGGTGAAGCTGACTTTACGTTGCTTCATGGCACTGTCTGTCATGTCCCACTCTTCCTCTGTCAGCCTGAATCCTGCTTTCAGATCTCCTCTTCTCTTTGGCTCTGGGTTACCGTTTGCACTGTGACTCACAGGAATTCCTCTGGGACTCAGAAAGGAATAGGATGTCATTGAAGCTTGAGCCTTTCCCAGAGCCAGGCGGCCATATTTGAGCACGATGGCTTGGAGAAGCTCCCACAGCACCTTTGGAGTGAACACACCGAGCTTGTTTTGCTCATACAGGTAAGGCTGAAGGACCTCTTTGATGTTCTGTAAGAACTGGCGGAAAATCAGTAGAGTAGCTAGCATCTGTGAAGAGAAGGACGGGATCTGTTACTATGCTGAATGTAAGAATGACATCAAAGCAAGACCCAGTGATTGTTGAGTAAAAGAAAAAACAGACTCTGGGATTCATAATAAACTGGTGCTTAGTTCAAGAAATTGTGGGTGTTGCTGTTAAAGCTTTGATCTTGTATGATTTAAAGTTTAGGGCAACAAATGCAGTGTTTCATTATTATGCCATGCTGTGCAATAGTCTTGAGCAACCCTCAATTCTTTAAATTTACTTCTGCACCGTGCATCGTTTGCACTGTGACTGACAGGGATCCCTCTGGGACTCAGAAGGGAATAGACTTGTTTCTAATTTTTGTTTTAAACTGGTGTGGATCAGTAGTTCTCCAGGCTTTCTAAAGGTCTTCCAAACCTTTTCTTTAGACATTGGCTGCTTTTTCACTCAGTCCTTGTACCTGACCAATTTCTTTTTGTGTGCCAAGTTGCAGGCTTAAAAACAATCTACTGCAGACAGACCGTTTCAGAATCATTATCATTTTGACAGATAATGGAACAAAAGGCACCCTACATCAGAAGATCTTTGAAGGTCCTTCAAGAAGCCTGGAGAACTACTCCTGATGACTGCTTGAAGAAAGCTTTCTTAGGAGAGTTCAGGCTGTACTGAAAAATAAAGTGGTCATATCAAATATTGACTTTTGAGGTTGTTGGAACAAACTGGTTTTTGCTTCATCTACTGTACTTTCATTGTTGTTTGCAAGTTTAAAGAAATCACAGCATCTATTGTATTGGCAAAATACAAAAAAATGAGGGATAGCTGAAGACCTTTATACGGTATTACACAACTAACATTAAATCTCTCACCTAAACAGTGACTTTGGATTGTAGCCTTACACTTTGCCACGTGAGTCTATGTTCACTCACTCAGAATTTGTAGACTCAAACAAAATACCTGCCTTAATGTAACCTTTGCACATTTGAAAAAATGGTTCACCTATAAGACAGCAGTAATATTTACTATAATATAACATAGCATACTATTATCATATTGTATTTATAAGAATTTTGGGGATAAAATACCTTTTTTGGGTGTGTAGTGCTTTTTTAATAAAAAAATAAGTATTTCTACTAATGCTGCATTCATGTGCTGTTGGCATAATTAGTTTCCAGTTGGGAAAAACACCCCTTCAAAAGGAAACAACAATAAAAATTCAAGTTGCTTAGCTGTTGACATCACACAGTGTGTGTGTGTGTGTGTGTGTGTGTGTGTAT